TCTTTTAGTGAAATTTTTTTAAAGGGCATGAGTAGATGGAATAAATTGACAGCTTTAGGAAGAGTTGTGGCGGCACATATTATGATACTTCAGAACTTACTCTTTTTGTTACAAGTTTTCCCCACCCCTCTCCAAACAGGTAGTTTGAAACAATGGCCCAAAATTATACCTGTTTTTGCATTTCAGAAAGAGTAACCTGAATTGGCCAGCGGAAAATCGGAAAGGGGCAGGTGGAGACTTTGTTTTATGATGCTTTTCAGCTGAGGCAACTCAGCTTTATTCAGAGAAAGTTTGATAAAAAATGGATTATGTTGGAGCATGAGATATTACTACACGTGGATTTAGAGGCGTAACCGTTTTGTAAATTGTCACCTACAGCAATACAAAAAATCCATATACGTTAAAAGATCAGGACATGGGGGGGAATGGAGGGTCATTTCCCCCCAATGTGCTTCTTACTGTTTCCACTGGAATATCATCCTCAGGTTGTAGATTTACCTTGACAGAAAACCATTTTGTATTGGGAAAAGAAAATTATGTTCAGCAGCCTCACATTTCTCCTCAGTTATCCCTACTATATATGCGGACAGAAGCTATGAAAGCAACTGTAATAGGGAATTAGAGCTGCTTGTTGTCAGCATATTGATTTCTGCAGATTGGATAGTTTTAAAATCCTTAAAGTTGCCTCTCCAAAGCAGATTGCGCTGTTGTGGGGATATCCTTCAGGTTCTGCTGAAGTTCATTTATTTAATTTTTATTATTATTAAAAAGAAAATGCTACCCTGAGGAGCAGACTTCCAGGTTACAGCATGGTCCATCTTGCCACCTTTCAAAATGTTGCCTGCCTGCCTGTCTGTGTGCGTTGCTTTTTTAAAATACCAAGGTTCATCTTTCATTCTCTACTAGCTTTTGTAGTCCAGCGCCCATATAGCCATAAGAACAAGAAACTTTGATAAAACCCCTCTATATTTTCACCTAATAAATAGCATGATTTCAGGAGTGTTGCTATTATGGTGTAGCCTTATGAGGCTTTGCCCTCGGGTGGGAAAAATATTGCGCCTGGGAAAGAGAGATGGGAGTCAACAGACACTCAAGGAATAGTTTCGGAGAAAAAGCTTTTATTTCTACCATCCATGAACTGGTAGAAGGAGCAAGTGTGATAGTTCACAAAAACATGCACAAGTTCACAGTCGTGTGCACAGAGTATATATTCCCCTTCCAGTTCCCTCCCCTTTCTCCTCCTTCTCCAGGAGTCCTGCCACAAGAGTTCCCCTGAGCATGAACAGAAAGCTCTCTTGGGACTATTGTGGACTCCTGGCATCCTTCCCAGGAAAGGGGTGAGACGCCAAAGGGGGGTGGGTCGAGGAGCCTTGTGGTTCAACGTGTCCAAAGATGTTGCAACTAGAGTGAGATAAGATTCAGTTCTCAGGCCTGAGTATTCTTGGCATTGACAGAGTCTATTCATTAGCCTTTAAAATTACAGTGGTGCCCCGCAAGACGAATGCCTCGCAAGACGAAAAACTCGCTAGACGAAAGAGTTTTCCGTTTTTTGAGTCGTTTCGCAAGACGAATTTCCCTATGGGCTTGCTTCACAAGACGAAACGTCTTGCGAGTTCTTGCGAATTTGTTTCCTTTTTATTAAAGCCGCTAAGCCGTTAATAGCCGCTAAGCCGCTAATAGCCGTGCTTCGCAAGACGAAAAAACCGCAAGACGAAGAGACTCGCGGAACGGATTAATTTCGTCTTGCGAGGCACCACTGTAACATTTTTCCTATGCACAGCATCTTGTGAGAATAAGCAGAGGAAAGCTTTAGCTGTGGATTTTTAGAAGAAAAAAGGAATTTTGGACAGTTTTGAGGCCTGGTTGGTTGGGGGGGACTTCGGGACTAGGTGGGGTCACCTGTCCTCACCTCCTACAATGGGAGCTCAGAATGCGGAAGGGGTGATTAAAAACCAAGTGGAGCTGACAACACGGAGTTGGTTAAATATTTGCCAGTTATCTGAACCTTTTGTTTTCTCTGCCGTGCCATCAGGCCAGGAAGATCTTGCTCCCTATTGTGATAGGAATTTTATGGTCTTAGATATATGGTAATGTTCATAAGTGTACCAACCAAGCACGTACATAGATCAGCACAGGAAGACCGACCAGGAACCATTTTGATTCCTAAACTGAGCAAATGTTTTCTCTGCAAGGTCAAAGTGGGAAACATCCCCATTGTCTCTTTCCTCACAAATCCTGTCTTAAGGGCACATTTAAGATATGAATAGGGTGTGAGCCTGTGACCTGGCCCAGGAACTAAGTATTTATCACTATAAAAGAATGACCAGGCTCCTCAGGCAATCCAATCAAGTAACCTGCCAGACAGGAGATAAACAACATTCAAATTTCTGCTTTAAGACCAACTTTTCTGTGATGTAGGTATGATGTTTCTGGGGGGGGTCTTGATCTACAGGGTGGCAATTTAAAAAGTCTTTATAAGGCCTTGCACACCATTTTTCTGGGTTCCTCCTCTCCTGCGGGTGAGGGGAGCACCCTGTTGCAACAGATCAATAAAGATCAAGCTTGCTAGCTGCTTTGCTTCTCAATATTCTCTGGTTGGCCTCTGTTATTCTCTCCTACCAATAGGGAACCTATGTAAGGACTCCATATGGGCTCTTGGATACCCCATAAGGGAAAAGGGCTTTTTTTGTTTACAACACTATCAAATGGCACGAAGGCAGAAGTTTGTTTTCAGCACATCCAAGCTATATCAGATCTAATCAGCTGGGGCAGCGCATGCTTTCATGTGTCTGGCCAAAAGCACAGAAATCCACACAGATCAATTAGATTCCTATTTAATAGACACTCGGATGGAGGGGAGCTTTTCAGCCCCTTAAAATCCTCAGCCTGTTTCTAGAGCTGTACTTCTGTGGGCATGGAGCCCATAATAGCCATTTACATAGGGGCCTGGGGAGGTTTGGGGGAAGGTCTCAGCCTAGTTAGTGAACAGGGGCTTTATGCCAACCTCTCCAAACTCCACGAAGGACGAACAGAAGTGTAAATAAACCCACATACTGTAGCTAGTTGTGCTGGGTTCAGTGGGAAGCCTGCTGCAAGAGTACATTAAATATTTTCACCCACTTGCCCACCTAGCCTATTTCATTCCCTTAGAAGAAGCAAGCTAGCCGACAGCAGAAGAAACCTTTTATGAGCTTCTGCGCATGAACCACAGCCAAAGAGGCAGAGAGCAGCTGGTAGAGACAGAAGGAGCATTAAGACTGAAGCACAAAAGTCAAACAGCATTAAGTCTTGAGAACGCCTTCGAAGCCACGCTGCCATTGTCAGCTGCTGCCATTGTCCTGAAACGTCTCGTGATTTACCGTGGTCGTTTCAAACCTCGCAGTTAGTTCTGGCATTCAGATAAGCCGGTGGAACAACCCCTGTGCTAATTTTGCTTTTTCAAGCATTCCAAATAGCTGCTCAGGTAGAAATCCATCTAGCTGCAGATCAGAATCTCTTCGGGGGGCGGACATTGTGGGTGCGTAGAGGAAGTTTATCATCTCACAATAAGTGCATGGCTTCTCATCGCTTGAGAATTCAAACATTGTTCCTCCAGGTAATTTCACTGTTGCATTTCATAGAATCAGAGAGCTGTAAGGGACCCCCCCCCCAAAGGACCTTCTAAGTCCAAGACTCTGCAACGCAAGAACCACAGCTAAATAATCCCCGACAGATGGACTCTTCTGTTCAAAAACCTCCAGTGAAGAAGCTTGCACAACCTTCCAGCTGGCTCAGGTGACAGTTGCTGTCGGATGAGAAAGGAGAGGAGGAGGTGGGGGCTTCCTTTGCCTTTAGAGACAGGCCTACTGGCTCACTCTCCTGCCCCATCCACAGAGCAGCCATATTTCCTAGCAAGCTGGTAGAGGAGGCTGCACAGCTGGAGGAGCAATGAGAACCAGAGGAGTTGACCCCCCCCACCTTGCCACCAATAACTTGTCACTGCTTCTGCCATGGGCAACAGACCCTCGCCTTCGAACGCACCTGTCTCATAGGGAGTTTTGCGAGTGAACACACCATCTTACCTTTAAGGCCAGGGCCTTTTCAGTGATGGCTCCGACCTGGTGGAATTCTCTGTCCCATGAGACCAGGGCCCTTCAGGATTTAACCTCCTTCCATCGGGCCTGTAAGATAGAGCTATTCCGCCTGGCCTTTAATTTGAATTCAGCCTGATCTTTTATTTCCCTTCTCTTCCTTCCCCCTCCCCTTTTATGAATATCACCGACTCTTGAGACCCCACAGCTAATTCTCCCCTGGTCTCCTCGCTGGCCCAAGTAGGACTAATTCAGCCAGCTAGCCCTGGGGATTATCTAATATTTATTAGATGAATTTCCCCTAAATTGATTTTTGAACATTGAATTTTATTGTTATTCATGTTTTTATACTGTATTTTATGCTGCTTTTACAATTAAGTGTTTTAAATTTGTTGTTAGCTGAGCCCAGTTTTTGAACCAGAAAGGGCGGGGTATAAATAAAAAATTATTATTATTATTAAAAGCGGGAGGGAGGGATGTACCCATTATTAAGACACCTTTGTGACTTTTATCTGGTCTTGGAACCTTGAGGCCATTCTTGACATCTATAGCTGCGCCTCAGACTATCTGTCTCTGACTTGGTTCGTTGCAGGCTGTGAATAAAGCTTGCCCCCCCCCCACACCTTTTTACACGTAAGAGCGTCTGTTGAAGATTTGGGACAGGAGCCAGGATAAGCACACAGAGAGTTAACTGTGAAACCCTTCAGGAATCTGTTGCTTCTTTTTTCTCATTTATTTGGGGTGGTGGTGAAGGGATTTTAATCAGCTCTCATTGATTAAGTCTACGGGGTAATCAAATTTTGCAGCACTAGCAGAATGGCATGGGTATAGCCATTCATTCTCTCTCTGGTGGTGGGAGGGGGTTGAGGAAGGGGGCTACTGCTGCTACAGATTTTCCTGCCCTAAATGCCTGATACGTTTTTGTTGCAGGTGCAGATTCACTCTGCAGAAATAGTTTCGGTTTCAGTGACGGAAAGCTAAATTCCCCAGCGCTGTCTCCTGCAGCTGTGTCTACTCCAACAATAGCTTCTCGTAAAGGTAATGCAATTCTGAATAGCACAGGTGTGCTTATAAACACAGGTTTATGCTGAGCATCCATGTATCTTATTCTGTGTTGTAGAGATAATCCACCCTCACCCCCAAACCCCTGGATTGACTTGATTAAGCTCCCACTGTGAGGAGGAAGAAAAGACCACCATGAGCTCAGAGACCGGACATCAGAGTGTGCAGGCTAGAGAGGGATTTCTCCTTAGGAACCACCCTCTTTGGCCTCTAAGCTCCCACGTGGCTCCAGACCTTTTTTTCCATGGGATGGTGGCCACTGGATGTCTGCTTCTGCCCTACAAAGACAGTGTTTGCCTGTGCTTCAGGATCGCATTACGGACCTCATTTCTGCTAGTGCTCAATTTGTTTCCATGCCAAGGCAGAACCTTTAGCATCTATGAAGTAATGGGAAATAAAACTGTTTCTCAGGAGCGCAGGTGCATTTTCCTTGGCACTAAGGAACTCTAAAAGACACTCCTTGCAGCCAAGTTTAGGAAGAAGGGCTTCTGGATCAGAGAGAGCCATTTTCCTATCATGCAAGAGCCAGACATCTTTTCACAGAAATTGGGAGAAATTTGATTCAGTTAACTCTTAAAGGTGGACCTAACACGATTTGCACCTTGCAAAACAGTACGAGAACTGAAACACAGCCATCCTTTAAATTGGTGTCTCTCTGAATTCCCAGTGCTGTTCTCTAGCCAAGTATTGCACACAAATATGCACTGACTGCAGTAAAGTGTGCATAGAAATGCATATATAGCATTAGTGAAAAACGTACAAAAATTCATTATATTTTGAAAAATTACTTTGCAAAAATGTTGATACTGCTTACAGACTTGTGCATATTAGGACAAATTAGTGGGTGGGATGTTTTAATGTTTATGTTCTTTTCTGGGTTTTAATGGATGGATGTAGTTGTTTTCCTTTCTGTAAGTTACTTTGGGTTGCCTGTGAATAATTTCTCAAGTGGCATTAGAACTCTGGAAAACTCATGAATTTGTGTCTTCAAATGTTCATTGTTATTTATTTAGACATGCACCATAAAGCACCATATCAATCTTGGGCTTGTTTTTCCAGGAAAGCTTGGAGACACAAAAGAATTAGAAGATTTTATCGCTGATCTTGATCGGACCTTGGCAAGTAAGTCAGGCTAATGGGCAACCAGACTCAAAATTCATTTATAGCAGATGGCTGGGGAAGGATGGCTGCAGCATCACCTCTCAGATCCTGGGCATGAATACCAGGTGAAAACCGGAACCTACTTTAGACAGCTGAGGCAAACCACAAAATGGCGTCTGCCAGGGAAGAAGGGGCGAGCGAAGATCTACATCGGAAACAAGGGGGAAATCCAACCAACCTTACTCAACAGTTGAAGTGGGAATCAGAGGTCATTGCAGGGGAAATCTGAATCACTCCGGGTGTGTGCAGAGCCCAGGAGACCCCAGAGGGCAGCCCTTGCCCTTTCCTTCCTAGGCATGGGAGGAGACCCCTAGTACCTGCTATTCATTGAGAGGCCACTATAGAGGCGGCCTTGGGGGGGGAGGGATGCTGAGCAGGAGGCCCCCCCCCAAAGTGGCACCACAGCCATTGCTGCCACCATGGCAGCAGCGAGGAATGCATCCCGCCGGATCTGCTCCTGTGGATTGTGCCACCTGAGGCCGATCGCCTCACCTGGTCTCATGGGTGGGCCGGCCCTCGCCTACTTGTCCCCGTTGCATCCTCAGTTTGGCCATAAGGGCTGAAGTGATTACTCCTTGTGAACCTTCCCAGCAACGGTGTGTGACCTTAGCGAGGTTATCTTGCTGTTGTAGAGGTTTAAGGAAACTGACCCCAAAAATACAGTTGAGTCCATGACAGCAGGCCATTTTAATACCTGCCCTGCCTTATGTTCTTATAGGTATGTGAAACAACTGTTTTTGCATGAAACTGGCCTACAAAAGGATGAGGTTGAGTCTGGGCTGATCCTGTTCCGTACGACGAAGACACAGAGGGAGACCCTCATCTCCCAAGCGTGCAACCTGCCATCTTACTCTTCCACTTTTAACCGTGACGACTCTTGTAACTTTCTCTTCAAATAACAAATTTGCTGATGCCATACTTTTTCGTAAGATACAGCTTAACATTAATTTAAAAGTGCTGACGAAAAGATTTGTAATTTTATATAGCTAATGTAAATGCTTTTTTTTTTGTTAAATATATTTTTGTATGCAAATAAAATGCGAACTGGATTTTTTTGTTTTTGTTTTGAAAAAGGTGGCTGTCCGCTATTCGACACTTTCATCCCACTCTTTGAGAAGCTTACAGCCGTTAACTTGGGAAGCCACCATCCTTGTGACACAGATCAGTGTGGTTCTAGTTCACTCTGTGCCCATTGGCTTGCAAGGATTCCATCTTGCATTAGATAGCACGCTGGCCGGCTGGCTGGCACAATTCTGCCTCTCTTTCTCAGTGCCCATTTACAGTGACGAGAGGCGTACTCATCTGATATGACAGACATGGATGGGAGCGACAGAGCTGTAGCAACTGAGCTTCTATTGAGGGTCAAAACAATGGGAACACTCGGCTGGCGTACGTACGGTAGTCTGTGAAGCCAGATCTCTTGCATTTGGTCTGATTTCATAAGGAATACCTCCCCCCTCCCGGCATGTTTCCTGACCCCATTTTAATTAATGTAGACATTCATTTCAGTAAAAGCAACATTGCGTGTTGCGCAGTCTTTCAGTATTTGGTTACTCGTGATGAACTGTGAGGGCAAGAATGTTGAGCCTAGCTATATTCCTGATATATTCCTGATGTATTCATTTTTGTTGGGAAGAGGGAAATTCAGTCGTCCTGTTCTGAAGGAGGGTTGTACCACAGGGCTATTTTGAATGTGAAGATTATTTGAGGGTTGCAGTGAGGAGACTCGTATCATACTCTCCTCCTGGGTTTGTACTGTTTTAGAAGCCACCTTTAAATAAATCACTCGGACAGCAGTAAAGGTTAGTTGACTTTCCCCCCCAAACCTTTTATTAAATCTTGCAGCTGCTTTCCCCGAACTGAATCCCTCCCTTCTCAAAGTGCAAATTTCTTTATGGCTGTAGTACATTAACTTCCAGAGAGGCACTGAAGGATATTTTCAAAAAGAACACTTGTGGGAAATTGTTCACATCGGGGCGAGTTGCATTCTGTTATGAGTAAGAATAGAAAATAAAGACCTACACACTGTGTTCTCTAGATACAAAGAGACCCTTATTTATTCTTTTAAATGTCAGAATGGGGGAAACGGGTTATTATTGTTCACACGTTTTTGGATGCAGCAGATGGGCTATTTAAAGAAACATTTGTTTGCTTGCCAATGTGGCTGAGCTGGGAAGAGATCCGAAAACCGACTGACATTGTGAGTGTAATGCAAAGTCTAGAAAACAAGGAATGAGTCCAAACGCCAAATTATGAAGAAATCTTAAAAAATAAAGAGTACAGCCCTTCAGGGTCTTAGGGCACAGAAGTAGAAATGATAAATTTTCCTTAAAGAAATCAACCTTCCCCTCAGGTTTCCTATTTTGTCATTGGGTTGCACATAAGAAAAAGGTTGTAAGAAATTAGTATTTTGCATTTTACATCCAATTCTTAAAAAGCCTGGTTCACACATTTCTTTGTTGTTTCTTCAGCTCATTCTCTTGTGTATCACAACACATGCAGTCTCACATGGGTGTGTGTGTGTGTGTGACTGTTTCAGCAAACAACCACCTTGCATTATTATTTCCCCGGGAAAGAATGTTAATTAATGTTTGAAATCTTAAAACATTTTCTAGCTGAAGATATTCTGCTGACCCGCTTCGTTTTCTGATGTACTACTTGCCTTGCCTCTCTCTCTTAACCCAGAATTTAGAATTGAGACGTTTACGTTTTGAAATACATTGTGAGGATTTGTTGGGGAGGAATGAAATCCACAATATTATTCCTCTCTTCCCCCTGCTTTGAATTTAGCAGATTTAACAAACTGATAGTAACATGTGGTCCAAAGCCCAGTGACGCATGAATTGTGAGGCATCTTAATAAATAACCATTATTCACTCTTGCAACTTACTAAACTAAAACGGAATTTCAGAGCTTGCCATACGTGGATGGTGGTGCTTTCACGCCAGTCTGCTTACGAACGCAATAAAATATTACCGTTTGTGTCTCTTGATTCCTCGCATTGCCCCTAAGCTGGTTTTTGTTTTTAAAGTTTCGCATTTAGAGAACGCTCATGGCCTTTACCAGTTTTATGCTATTATCTGTTGCCCTTCCATGATCAGGAACATTGTCATGCCTGAGTACAGCAACATCTCACTGCCTTGGACGATGGAAAATGATGCCAAGGAGTTTGCTCTGATATTGTACTGCTCTGGCTTTCAGAACGACTCCACATTTTTCTGCCTCATTCAGTGGACAGGGAATGGCTCTCAAGTACCACTTCACTGTGGATGGCAGAGCTCTCTCTCTCTTGAGACTTTTTGCCATCTCCTCATAATTGGACAGAGTCAGCATCGTGCTATGCAGTGTTTTCCTCCCAACGAGACAAACAGCAGCTTCAGGAGAAACATTTAGATTGGGAAAATCTGATTTGGTTCTTAGCCTGGTCAACAATTTTAACTTTACACGGCCTCAGAAAGTCAGCTGCAACCAAATATAATGCCTCCGGGCATTTTCTTTCAGTGTTTGCAGATGCACTGTTGCTTATAATCACAGTTAGATGTCTACACAGAGCGGCAGAAAATCCTAAGCTTCTGAGAAACAGGGACGGCCATTCTAGTCCAGCAGGCATTTAAATGAAGCTTTGGAGTTTTTAATGATATTTTATTTTATTTTATTCGTTAATATGCTTTTGCAATTTCTATGTACACCACTTGGAAACATTCATGATTAAGTGATATATAAATAGCTGAAATTATATATATATTTTTAAAAACGCTACTTGTCCCATGTGTGCAGTACCTGCAGTTTGATGGGCGAACAAATCACTGCTTACACTGCAGCAAATTCAAGGGTAGGTTAACGATCTAGAATTAAGCAAATTGGTTTTTCGTTTGAAATCATCGGAAGTTTTCAGATGCCTGTGAGACAACTGCAAAGCATCCCAGCCCATTAGCCTCCACACCTTAACACTACATTGCTTTTCTACTCGAGGCAGAAAACGCAAAGGAAGACTATTAGATCTGTCCGATGTGCACATTACCACATTCATTCTTATTAACGGACAGAAAATTGTTATGAGTTTTGCCAGCTCCAAAAAAGGATCAATGGGAAATGGCAAAACATCCTGCTTTTTGCAGTAGACCAGTGGTGTCCAAAATTTTTTCAAAGAGGGCCAGATTTGATGAAGTGAAGGGCTGTGAGGGCCAACCAAAGTTGTTGAGCTTTATTTAGGGTTGAAGTTGCTGAGGTGTTTTTTTAGGATTTTACCCAGGAAATAAACTGCCACAGGGGCCAGATTAAACCAACCAGCTGGCTGGATTAGGCCCCCAAAATGGACTTTGGTCATGCCTGCAGTAGACAAGATATTCAGTGCAAATCAGTGTCTAAGGAAACTGTAGATGGAAAGTTTAAATTACTGAAAGCTTTTAATGTGGGTGGGGTTTCTTTTAAAAAACCCACTAAGGTTTTTACTCAAATGGAGCAGTAATAGGTAGATATGCCCTACTATATACTCCAATGTAAAGTATAGTACTTATTCCAATTGAAAGCCTACGGGTTGTATTCTGTGCCATCCATGAGCAGCATTTACACATATAGAAGGCAACTTCTTTCCTATCCTCTCTCCTCTAATCATGTTGAAGGCTCCTCCCTTCACAGAAAACATTGAGGCGCGTGGGCTTGGGGAGGGAGGCAAGGGAGGCGAAGTCCCTTTACGGAAGCACAAAGTCCACCCGTACAACGCTAGATTCCACCCAGTGTTACTAGAATTAGATCACCCTCTTAAACTCCGCCAAGGTGCTTCCCATATACAACTGACCAGTTACAGATTGAAAGCAGGCCCCTTCCTAAGGCGTTTGACAGCATGGTGGAGGTGAAGATCTGCTGTAGAATCTGTGGGATGTCCTTGGTGTCCATGGCAATAAAGGAACGGCCGGCTGGCAGCGTCCTTTGCAACCTGCAGATCAGGAAAGAGAAAAATACATGGTTGCAAATTGTGTCCCACTACAATAAATATGTGGACGCATGTGGCGTGTGGTCTAAACAACAGAGCTTAGGGTTTGCTGATCAGATGGTCGGCGGTTCGAACGGGGTGAGCTCCCGTTGCTCGGTCCCTGCTCCTGCCAACCTAGCAGTTCAAAAGCACGTCAAAGTGCAAGTAGATAAATAGGTACCACTCCGACGGGAAGGTAAACACCATTTCTGTGTGCTGCTCTGGTTTGCCAGAAGCGGCTTAGTCATGCTGGCCACATGACACGGAAACTGTCTGCGGACAAACGCCGGCTCCCTCGGCCAGTAAAGCCAGATGAGCGCCACAACCCCAGAGTCGTCCGCGACTGGACCTAATGGTCAGGGGTCCCTTTACCTTTACCTTTACACTAAATACATCAAATAACGTTTAAATGCTCTTAAGAAGAAAGTAAAAATTTCCTTCTAAATCTCTTGTACTGTAACTGCAACCTGAAAGACTTGGAAACTTTGGTGGGAGCAAGCGGAAAAAGCTTTGCGTCTGCAAAAGTCTTTCTGCAGCAAGACTTCTTTTCTTTTTGTGTTTGCCATGTGCTATGCACATGCGTGGCAGTCAGCACAAAGGAAAGTACAGCATTAATACTCCGGATATTATGGGGCTTGTCCAATGGGACTGCGATAGGGTGTCGCCTAAGATGTGGGATATACAGCAAATCCATGAGGAAACGTGTTTTGTCTTCCCCAGAGCACAAAACCAATGACTGATTTAAAGTAGATTTTTTATTATTATTATTATTATTATTATTATTATTATTATTATTATTATTATTATTAATTATTATTATTACATTTCTTAATTGCGAGTGGTAGTCTTTGGAGACACAGAATACAAGCAGCCCTTTGGTAAGGTAGCATTTTACTTCAACCAATACTGAGTTAAACACATAGCAGAAGAAAGGCTGAATCTCTCATTTGTCACACCGAACTCTGGCATGGGCAGAAGTTTTTGCTTTTGCAAAGCTCAGCTTGGCATGAGTTCTCTGCTGCTCACAGCACAAGAAACTCTGTGTGATGCCAGACAACCAGCCTGGACAGAATGCCAGACCTGAGCAGATTTGTGGCGAACTGTGCAGAACACATTTTTAAAGAAAACTTATGCCATATGTATGCATGCCATGAACTCATTGACCTACCTGTCTGCCTGATCTCCTAAGGAGCCTATGAATATGGCAAATGCGTTCACTTTGGGGTTGATGGTCAAGGCTTGAGCAAACCGGGCTGCGGGGATGCCGTACCGCTCAAGGTTGGCATCGCTTAAGACTATGACGAAGTACTCGTCTGCCTCTTCTTTCGCAATCTCCCGAATGGCGTGCTCTGTGCCCTCCAGAGTGTGGTCGCCACTCATACAGAACTGCGCGTGGGCATGCATTGTCTGCAGAGGGGGGGTGAAAACATCAACAAAAAGAGGAACGGAAATGAAAAACAAGGAAGCAAACATTTCAGCACCCATTGAATGGAAAAGCCTATTGCAGGTGAATTCGTGTCCAAAGGCTTTTTGATTGGAAAAAAAAAAAGGGGGAAAGCTTCCCATTTCACCTCAGGCAGCAAAATGAGATGGGACACCCTTGGGACAGAAATATGGAAAATAAATGGACCCGTGAACCAGAAACTTATCTCACTGGGAACATAAGACAAGACTTGTAGTGCCGGCTGTGGTGATCACACAGGGTCCCCGGACATTTCACCGTCTAATGATCCCTGTGCCACCACTTTATTTCTCGCTGCCACCACCCAGGCCCTACCTGGGACAATACTGAGTCCAGTCAGGGTTAAATTGGAACATAAACTTCTGTTTATTTATTGCATTTTAACAAGCGTGTGGTTCCCTAAATGGTATCAGTCAATTACAATCATGGGGTGCCTATCCAGTCCTATAACTTCCGCTACCTGCTCTCACTCACTAAACCGCCTCTCAGATATTTACTTGTCTTCCTAGTTCCTAACTGTTCCTGACTCAGCTTATTTCGCTACACTAACTCAACCCACCCACAGACTCTATTCCAATTCATTCCCACTCCACCCAACCATCCAACTCCCAACAAACTTCTCCCTTTGCCCCTCCCAGAGCTGGTTTTATAGTCCCTCTGACTCCACCCCCCTGGGTTCTGATTGGGTATCTTGTTTAACTATTTCACCTCCAGCACTCTCATATGTTAATGTCACACCGGCTTTCTTAGGCAAATCCCCAGTGGACTGAGAAGGGGGTGGCCTGGGTAAATGCACCATGTTGACCAAATTGGAATTAAAGAGAACGGCCCTTCATTTCTGACAGCATCGCTCCAGAGCAGAGCAGGAAAAAATGAACGCCATCCATAACCGGCCTTTGAGCAAGGCTCAAAGTGCATGCAGAACAACCAGTGCCTAGCGTTTATTTCAATAGTAAAATATGGGATATGACGCCTTAACAACAAGAGATGAGAATTTTCAGAATAAAAATATAATGTTTTGTGGTCCCTTAGAAAAGAAAGGATTTGTGAAGTGTTATCTTCAGTTGACGAGATTCATTATTTGTATCTATCTCCATGCGCACACCATTTTTGGAGAAGGCCCATTAAATGCGAGAGGTCCAGGTGGTCTGTGAACCCTCTGCAAAGCTCAAATGCATAGAAGAGAACTATAACTACTCACAACAGTAGCAACTGGTGAGAACACCATCTAGACAGGGAAGGAAATGCGTATGTTAATGCGTATGCCATTCTAGAAAGTCACTCCATAAAAACAAATAATATATTGGCAGCCACTGTGAGAACAGGATCCCCGACTAGATGGCCCAGTGGTCGGATCCAGCAGCTTCTCCTTACGTTCTTATATTCAGATTCCTAAGTGCCAAAAGTGGGGGTTTTTACAGCATGTTTATACTTTCACACTCCCTGTCTCGCTTGGTTCCCTTTCTGGGATACCAGGCACTACACGAATTTCAGTCAGATAGGTTTACCTTCAAAATTTCCAGTCTTTGTTTATTGTTCTTCGGAACATTGTCATTCTGGACCACGGCAATGTTAAAACCATCTCCCGAATGCCCAGTGATGTCATACTGCATGGAAAAGATTTAAACATCATTTTTAAGCATCATCCCCATAATAAAATGTATGTTTTATCATAAGGCACCGATCACAGTTTGGAGCCTTGAACCACCATTTGCCACCCACCAATTTCTGTGTTGTTGTTTTTTTTAAATACCCTTGTGCTCACAGGCCAAAGTACAAATTAAGGCTGGAAGAGGCATATTTTATGCCTTAGTTACATATTCAAATTCTTAATATTGATTGTTCAGCCCTTTTAAGCAAACCACAGCAGCATGTGCTTTTCAGCATCAGCTTGCATGGACAGATCAGACAAATTCATACTGGAATACCAGGGGAAGGGTTATCTTTTAAGCTGTCCAATGTCTGATTGCCTATATTTCTATTTCTATGAATATTTATTTTATTTTATTTTACAAGACTTATATGCCACTTAATCAACAAAAACTAAGCAGCTTACATAAAAAATATAAAATATTCATTTAAAAATATTGATAACATTAATGTTAAAACCAAACGGACAAAAAATGCATAAACATTGTACTAGACATGTAGTAGAAGCATGCTCTGGCCAACAGACATTTAAAATGTTTCTGGGTAAGAGAGGGATGTTGAAAACTCTCTTACAAAGACAGAAGGGAGTCCAATTGCACCATAAAGACTCACAAATCTTTTGCACCATTAGCTTTTGTGGACTAGAATCAGAGAACCAGAGAGTTGGAAGGGACTCTGAGGGTCATCTAGTCATTCCTGCAATG